GATAATTGATGTTATGATTTCTTGGGTAATCTTGATAATCTTGATGATGGAAAGAGATTCTTGATGATTGTGTGATATTCTTGATAAACCTAGATTCCTAATGATTGTGTGATATTCTTGATAAATCACATTGTTGCTTAATGTTAAAAGATGAATTACGTTCTTAATAATTTGAATATGATTAGAGCCCTAGAATGTGTCGTGAAACTCGTATGGTGTCATTCTGGATATATTGGGTGGGAATTCACATGTTTGGGTGTTAATTATGTTTAGCAAGCATGATAGGATATGTGCCGTATGTTTCTTGCTTTTGATCCGTTAATTGTTTACGGGTTGTCATCAGTTGCGTTTAAAGGTGTCTAAGCATGGCTTCGGGTTCCACAAAGGTTCCCGGGGCGTTATTTGTGAGAAAGAGTCAGTGGGGGGTAGGGGACCCGCCACCTACCCGCGGCCAGATTTGACATCGCCGGCAGCGGGCAGCCGGCGGGCAGGCACCCGCTGCCCGGAAACTCGTCGCCGGTGGGCAGCCGGCGGGTGACCCTTCACCCACCGGCTACCCGCTGGAAATTGTCCCACCTCGGGATCCCGACTTCCCCGTTTGATGTTCCCCCGACCCCCGTGGTGTCCCAACGGACTCCGTCTATCGTGCCTATGTCTAGTTTGATGTTCGGGTGCCATTCGTAGGTTGAATAAGTCTTATATATTACATGTTAGTTGAATTGGTATCCCGTTGGCCTAGGTGTAAGAAGTATGAACCCCTTAGGATTATTCTTAGTATGTGGATAATCACGCATAGGTTTCGTTATACGATTTCTCCCCCTTCCCAATGTGTCAATATGGGTTGCATGTGTTTGCTATGTGTTATGTGTGCATGATATCCCAATTTGGTTGCGATCAAATTGGTTATTCCTGAGCTGCGGTCAGATTTACACTCTCGGGCTGCGGTCCACCGTTTGGTTGCGATCAAACGTTTTACATGAGCTGCGGTTCATATTCCTGGCTGCGGTCAGATGACTACTCTTGGGCTGCGGTCCACTGTTTGGTTGCGATCAAACATTATGATGAGCTGCAGTTCATCGGTCGGTTGCGATCGACCCCTCCGTGTTGCGATACGGGGCAGGGTGATGCGGGGCCGTGTCAGAGCTATATGCACTGACCCTCATGTATGGTCATGCGATTGGTCCTGTGGCGCCATCAAAGTGTGCTATGTGATGAGATATGGATGGTTGGATGTTACGAATGTCATGAAAGCGTGACCATAGGATACATGCTAGTAAACCGTATATGCTTGGTTATGACTATTGGCTGTGCTTATCTCTATCTGTCGAGTCTGTTCCCTATGCTTGTGAATTGTATGACTGTTGACTGTGCTTATCCCTATCTGTCGAGTCTATTCCCTGTTTTAAAAACTAGAGTCTCTTAGGATATATCTTCATGCTTCGAAATGGCTTTCTTATATCTATATATATGCCTATATGTATTGTATTTCAACGCGTTGGAGTTGGTTACCAGCATCTCTCGCTGAACAGATATATTTGGCTTTCAGGCACAGATGATTAGACACTGGAGCGCGCTAGAGATTCGGAGCATAGAGTAGATAGTTTCCCTTTCGGCCTGCGTGCCATGTTTATGTATTGATACTATTTGAGGATTCTAGAAGTAAGCCTATGCACCTGGGTTCTCTAGCTCAGGTGTGGCATAGCACCCCGTACTCTTATGTTTGTTTTGGGATTTATGAGCATTTACCTTTATTATATAAGCTTCAAAAGTTTAAAATTTTCGGGGTGTTACAATTATGCATGATCGGGTGTTGAGTCTAGCCTAGGACTTGTATTTAGAACTTTGCATATAGATTTCTTGATGTTCTTGTGGTTCCGGATGTTCCTGAACCGTTATATGATTAACGTGGAGTCTTGGCATGTTTACGAATCGTGTTAGAACGTATTTGGTACGATTCTTGATTTAATCTCGTTAATTGAATTCGTGGTGTTGTCGTTATGTGTTTAAATGTGTCTGGACATGGCTTCGGGTTCCACGAGAAACCCCGGGACCGAAAAGTTGCCTAAGTACCACTGGGGGGTAGGTGGGAGCACGGGTACCCGCCACCTACCCGCTACTCGGGAACTCTGTTCCAGCGGGCAGCCGGCGGGCAGTGGTCTGCCCGCTGGCCACTCGCTGGAATAGTGGGTGGCCGCTGGCGGGTGGCTGGCAGGTGGTCCTCCACCCTCCACCTACCCGCTGGAACCTGTTGGTGCGTCGTGATGTTTTTCCCCTTTTAATGTTTCCCCGTGTCCCGTTGTGTCCCGTTTGTCGTGTATGAGTCTCGTTTAATGTTTTGAATACCGTTCTAGGAATTTATGTGTAGTATGTGTCATTATTGTTATGTCTTGATTGTTATTGATTGATTATGTGTTGCTTGATTGAGTGGGGATGAGTATCGTGGTCATTGCGCAATGGCCGGTGTGATTAATGATGATGATGATGATGAGATTGTGATTGGTAGAAATGAATTGTTGGCGGTTGGCACCACTTGTGCCCGGTCATTGTACTAAAGGTACAGGCCTAGCGGTTACTGTGCTAAAGGCACAAACCCACCTTTGACTTGCTTGCCGTTGACCATGGGTCAGGTTATAAGTGCTGCGGTGTCATGTCAGGGCTATATGCGCTGACCCCTTGATATTGGCACTAGAGGTGCGGATCATGCGAATGGCAATGCGACGCTATCTTGATATGTTGGGGGTTGAAAGGTGGTTTGTCGGTGGGGCCATGTAGGTGCCCGGAGGAATAAGGGAGGCGATATAATGGTGGCCTGGAGGTATAGGTTGGAACTGATATAAGGACGGAGGGGAGCTACAAGGTTGGAACTTGGTATAAGGTTGGAAGATGGATCGTGTGACTTGATGCTTACTTGCTATTTGATTGCCTTGAATGCCCTTGTTGTCTCTATTTGCTATTTGTGAGCTTACTTGTCGATTATGCCTTGTATCGTATTCTTAGAACGCATGCTAGTCTTTATGATTATTCTATACTGTTGAGTCTGTTGTTGTGTCTTGAGTCTTGATCTTGGATTTAAAATAGTGTCTCGTAAGTATATATGTATTCCAGTTTCAAAATGATTTCTTATATCTACCTATATTGTACTTAACGCGTTGGAGTGTGTTACTAGCATTATTCGCTGACGGTTGTTACACCGAATGTTTTTCAGGACCAATTGAGTAGCTTCGGAGCGCGCTAGTTGGATTCGTGGACTTAGTTTAGATAGTTCTAGCCTTGATGAGATGGCCTGCGTGCCTTGATTTACATTTGGATATTCATGATGGTTTATGCTTTGTAAGATAGTTTAGCCTGTGCATCTGAGTTCTCTAGCTCAGATGTGGCATAGCACCCCGATTATTATGTTTCGTTTATGCTCTGTTTGGGATTTAAATATTAGATTCGCCTTTATTTTATAGGCTTTAAATATCTTAAAATTTAGGGGTATTACAAGAAGATTTCTCCGTGTGTCGTCGCGCGTGGTGCCCTTGGCATTTCTCATATTTTTGCGTGGTTTCTCGTATACTTCTTTTGCTTGATATTGTTTGAATTTGTAAATTCAATTTATTTCTCACAAGCTTGATTTTATGCATTAAGTCATTTTGTCATGGGCTTACAATCTGAATTCTTTCAAAATATTTATTCATTATTTCATTATTCAAAGCTGGGTTCTTTTGGTTTGGGCTTAGATTAGTGCTTTGAATATTAAGCTTTATATTTTGAAATTAATCTCATATTTAAATTATTTTAAGTTATGTAATTTATTTGGAGTATATGAGTTTAATGTTTAATTTTATGCATACTTGTTCATCGCATAATATTCTGTTTTTTAAATTATGCAATTTTATTATGCCTTTAGCATTACATACTTTGGGATGAAATTATATTAGTTCTTTATTGAGTTGGACATATGCATAAACTTTAGTTGCAATAGTGCATGAATTTAGGCACGTTTTAGCCGTTAATTCAGTTCACCAATTCAATTTAAGCTTTAATCATAGGTGAACCTACAGTTTTTGGATTATACCCTACAGTTTTTTGGATTATACCTAGACAGTTATACGTTAATTGTATTTTAATCAGGGAGGCATACTAGTCTTAATGGCCATGACTTAAGAACATCTTGTGCCACTAGTCTCCTTAAGTTGATACTTTATCTAAGGAGTTGGTTTTCAGTGAGACTTTGTCTTTAGCCAATTTTCCTAGGGGTATATTTGAAATTTCCCATCATAATCTGGTATAATTAGAAAAAAAAAAAATTAAGTATTCATTGCCAATGTAATTTGATTTTGGTTCATTAAAGAATAGTCATAGCATCTTTAATTTACTGAAATCTCCTAAGTTTTTAATCTTAGTTAATTAACGAATAGTCACAACATATTCAACTACCTAAGATTATTAAGTTATGATCTTATATTTTAATTTGGCTAGGGAGCAGCCACATCATCCTTAATCAGTTAAATTTATATAAGTTAGACAAGGAATTGATAATTGTCTAGTGATCTTCTGTGTATTCTATTATATAATTTTGTACATTCGAAACATGAGGATTTTCAGTTATAAAATTCTGTGTTTTTAAGTATAAAATTTTGTGTTTTCTATTATACAATTCTGTACATTCGAAACATGGGGATTTTCAGTTATAAAAATTATGTGCTTTCAGGTATAAAATTATGTGTTTTCTATTATACAATTCTGTACATTCGAAATATGAATTTTTTTTTAAGAATTAACCGCAGACAAGCAAAAAAATACAAAACGATATCGTTTTGGATCAGAACGCACAATGCATTGTACACCCTGATGCACGGTATAATTTATCATCACTTTGATATTCAATTATTCATTCCTTAGAACTAAATCTGTCAACCAAAACACCCCTAATTCCTTCCCACCAAACGTAATTAATTGAAAAAAAAAAAAAAGGAAACCGATAATATGGGAGTAAATGGGGCCCACAAATGAATGCTTTGGGAGGCTACTCGCCTACTCCCCTTCTCTTCGGCTCTACCTTAGTCACCGAGCTTGAAGTCCTTCAAATCCTCATCTCCGTTATCGCCGGCGGTGAGAATCAGAGGGTAGGAAAGGGATGACGCTCACAGTTTATGTTGATCGCATGTCCCAACCTTCTCGGGCAGTCCTCATTTTCTGCAGGTTTTTTCTTTTTCTTTTTAAAACTCTCTTACCCATTCAAGCAATCAAGACCCAAAGTTCTGCATCTATTGATTAAAATTTCAAGATTTCCTTATAAAATTTGCAATTTTGTTAATACCCACGTTTCCCTTTTGCACTCCTTATATGAATTTAAGCTGAAAAAGATTTTCTTGATTTTTGATATCGTGAAGGGTAAATGGGATAGACTTTGAGGAGGTCCAACTTCAGCTTGCTAAGGGCCAGCACAAATCTCCTGAGTTCAAAAGTTTGTCTTTTTCAACTTATTTGCTTACTGAAAGTTGTGGATAATTGAAAACATTATATGCTTTCTTTAATTCTCTTTGCACTGTTTTGTTCCAGAAATTAACCCCATGACACAGGTGCCTGCTATTGTGGATGGAAGATTCAAACTGTTTGAGAGGTAGTGTATATTTTGTAATTTACAAAAAGCAATTGACTTTGGGGTATTTGGTAAATAGCTTTAGCTGATTGAGATAGTGGGTTTGACCAGTTGATACCATTAGCTAGCTGATTGTAGAAAGATGTTTGGTAAATTAGACGTCAGCTGATAGCTGATTATATACAAAATGACTTTATCAAAATGTTGATCAAAAAGTTGCTTTGAGTAGTTTTTTAAATTTTAGTATTTTGGAGCAATAAGCTGTTACAAAAAGCTAATTAATCAAATACTCATACTGTTTTTTAACCAAGTCAAACAGCTAATAGTGATCAAACAAGCCAAAATTGGCTAATAGGCTAACTATTTTACCAAACAAGTTTATATGTAATCACATGTTCATGATTGGCCGTGGTTATGTTCTTTAAGATCTGCTACTGAAAAGGGAATTGGAGTTTCTGAAAATGGACAGATTAAAGAAAACTTGGAAGCTGTAGTAATTTTTATGATCTCTTCTCTTTCTTGTGCTGACATGGCTATATGTTTTTCAGTCATGCAATTCTCAAATATCTAGCTTGTTCCTTTCCTGGAGTTGCAGATCATTGGTGAGTTTATGGTTTATGCTTTGTGCTTTAGCAATTGATTCCCAATTATAATGTTTGAAGTTTTTATGTATTTTCTATTACTTTGATGCCTGTAATTGTTTCTTCGAGTTTGTGTCTATGCACTCAAAGTCTAATTCTTGGTGTCTACTGCTTTATCTTTGAAGGTATCCGTCTGATCTATTCAAAAGAGCAAAGATAGACTCGGTGCTAGATTGGCATCACTCTAATTTACGACGTGGCTCAGGTGCTTTTCCTTTTGAAATCGAAGATTATTTCAAGACTGCATTCGTTTTCACTCTCCCGCCATCCCATTGTGTCTCTGGTTCGATACTTGCTGTTTTATCCAATTGATTTCTGTGTTCAGCTCGGTATGTTTTTAATAGCACACTCGCAACTGCATTTGGCCTGCCATTGAACCCGGAAGCTGCAGCTGAAGCTGAGAAGCTCCTGTTGGCTTCCCTTGATAAGATCGAATCGTTTTGGCTCCAGAGAAATGGGCGTTTTCTGCTTGGAAGCTCTCAACCTTCAATTGCAGACGATAGCTTAGTGTGCGAAATTATGCAACTTGAGGTAGAGAAGTTTATAATTTTTGCTACTATTCACTCGAACATATATATTATTATGTGATTGTGGCCTCGAATGAAACTTTTTATCTGAAATCAGATTGTGGAAGAGAAGGATCGCGACAGAATACTAAGCCCATACAGTAAAGTCCAGAAATGGATCGATGACACGAAGAAAGCAACAATGCCTCATTTTGATGAAATACATGTCGCCCTCTTTCAACTCAAACAAAGACTGCAGAAACAGCGATCTGAACGCTCGAACTTGCATTCAAAGATGTAAGAATCTGATGCCAAAAGTTTCTTATTGCTTTGTAGTATTGAATGAACTGTGAACCTTCATGGGTAATCTTACCCCTCTAGAGACAAATGGATGTGTAAGTAAGCCAGCCATAAAAATAGACATCTATGTTCTAATTACTATACATTTGATTTGATTTCTTACTACATATATTACACTTCAGTTGTTGGTACCGTGTTGAGAAAGGGCAATTAATTCATTAAACCATGCGAAATAACATCCGAAAGGAAATGAGAAATGACATGCCATTCCTCGGGATCATACATAGAAACGACTTCCCTTGAAGTGCGGTGGGCAGCCCATTTTGTAAACCTCTCTAATAATGTCAGCCTCACATGCAGTGGGCAGCCCATTTTGTAAACCTTTCTAATAATGTTAGCCTCACGCCGTGCAAACGTGGTGCACACGATTGCAAAAACGGCGTCATTTTGATTAAAAATGACACATCCAACTTTAAAAAAAAAAAATCAGTTTCAATTGCCGTTAACGGCGTTATGTTGTGCATAATTTGAACTATATATTCAGGATGAATGAACTATATAGTTCAAATTATGCACAATATAACGCTGTTAACGACAATTGAAACTGATTTATTTTTTTTAAAGTCAGACGTCAAAACAACGTCGTTTTTACATGGTGCACACGGTTGCGCAGCGTAATGCTCCGCCTCACACATAACCACACCTTTAGATTAATTAGATATAAAATTAATAAGATAGAATTAAATTTAAAACTAATGAAATTTACTTCCTTTTGGTCCATCCTAATTAGGACCACAAGGTGTTCTTCACTCGAAATGAACCTTCAAGTAATGTCTATCGACTTGAAAGTATAACACGAACTAAACGCACCCGCGCTTGGTAGCAATATATACATACATCCTATTCTTTGTAACGCCTTGACGCATGACAACCAAACCAATTAGTACTCACAGGTGCTAACAGTACATACATACACGTGATGGTGATGAAACTGATGATGGCATTACCAATTTGATGGGTTTTCCTGCTTGTTTCTTGATGTCCCAATCATCTATATTGGAAAGTAAACCATACCCAAATTTCATTCACAATTAGTTCAAATTTCTTTGATCTTGAAATGGACACGTTACCTAATTCTCCACCTCCAAATGGACCTTAACAGAGAAAAAAAGAATTTACAATAATTATAAGATATTACTTCAACGGTCTCAAAAAGCCAAAAAGGTTATCTCCCTAACCAATAGGAGTATTCGGGTATTAACTGATAATTAATTGAGTTAGTTGTTTTAACGGATTGATAATATTGACGGTTTGTAGGAAAGTATTTATTTTTAGCGGGTAATATATAATAAAATAACGAGTTAATATCTAATATAGTTCTCAAGTATAGTGGTTTTACTCAATTAATTCTAAATGACTTTTTATGCTCAATTTAATCATGGATTTTGATGATTTTACATAATTTAGTCATTTGTTAAAAATTATGTTAATTGATTGTTAGAAATAAGGTCAGGGACGGAGGCAAAGGGGGGGCAGGGGGGCAGCTGCCCCCCCTCACCTCACCCCCACCCCTACCCCTACCCTATATATAGCCTTTATATATATATATATATATATATATATATATATATATATATATATATATATATATATATATATATATATATATATATATATATATATATACACACAGTACATTATAAGTATAACTATTACAAAACAGATTGTGTAATCAAAAGTTTCAGTAGACAAGGTGGTAAGAGGTGTGTTTGGATTTAGAAATGGCTTGGGTTTGAGTCCTTGCATTAGCATGGTCACAACTTTCTACATCTTTGCTTCAACACAATTATATTTTTGCATCCATATATATTAATAATGATATGTCTTTCTTTTTTATAATAATAATAATGAGATGTATATATCACTTTTTTTATATTAATGCAAGGTCACAAACTTCTACATCTTTGCTTCAACACAATTAAATTTTGGCATCCATACATATATATTAATATTGAGATGTCTTTCTTTTTTTATAATAATAATGAGATGTATATATCACTTTTTTTATATTAATAATGGGATGTATATATAAGGCTGACCTTATCCCTGCAAACATCTCCCACTCTCAAAAATAAGTCCCACTTCCACATCATCCTATTTACAAATCATCTACTATTCACGCTACATCCCTGCAAATCCAATTAATCTTCAGAAGTCGGCCCAAAAATTAAATAAACTAAATAAAACAAACAAATAAAAAACAAATAAAAAAAATAAAAGTACAAAAAACTGCCGCGTTGCGGCAGCTTTTTGTACGGTTGCAAGTTTGCAAGCAGTGCAAACTTGCAATCCTAATCACCATTAAAAAAAAAAAAAAAAAAAAAAAAAAAAAAAACATGGCAAGCTCCATGTCATCTTGCAAAGGTTGGGATTGCAGGGGTAATCCCAGCCTAACTTTCTTTATATTAATAATGGGATGTGTAATTTATAATGTATTTTATATTCGAATTGTTTTATCAAATTAATTATGTTTCATATTTTGTTATAAATATTTTTATAAAATTTTAATATGTTTTATTTTCGCCATATCCAACAATATTTATTGTTATACTTAAGTGTTTCATTTTTTTTTTTAAAATTTCTCTTTTCTTTTAATTTTTTGCTCCCACCGAAAAAAATTCCCGGATTCACCACTGAATCCATCCCTACTTCTTTGCCCCCCCTCAACATAATTTCTGGCTCCGTCCCTGAATAAGGTTCTAATGGTAATTTCTCATTACTGCTGCTTCTCCAAGGGCTGGACACCCAAATCTAACTAAAAAAGCTATTTTAAAAAAAAAAAAACTATAGACAAATATTTATTTATTTATTTAGGATTGAAATTGATTTGGGGATTTGGGGATAAAGATCTCCATTTCTGCGTGGAGCTTAATAAGGGGAAGAAGAATGAATCATCTCAGAATGAGAAATTACCATTAAGACCCTATTTCAAATAGTCAACTAAAAAAATTTGTAACAAATGACTAAATTGTGTAAAACCATCAAAGTCGAGAACTAAATCAAACAAAAAAAAATATTTAGAATTAAATTAAGTAAAACCAATATAATCGATTAGTCGATGATTATATTGGATATTAACTCATAAAATAACTTATACTGTTATGTAGAGATGACAATACCTCCTACAATTCTAAGTTGTGATTTAGACTCTTGAAGTAATGATTAATATTAGTGCTTTTTTTTGGTACATTGGAGGGGGCTAGGCCCCCGTTAAGTCTATGCGTGCGTGCACCTCCTGCATCGGCAAGAAGGAGGTCGATCAAACAATCCGAAGAATTTTTCAGAATAGAGGTCCCCCAGTCATAGTCCTGGCCCTGGCCCAAGTTGACAAGCCTATCAGCACACTGGTTCCCTTCTCAAAAGACATGAACCACTCTTTTTCTTCCTATCATGTTTATCAAATGGAAGCATTCCACGACCATCGAATATTAGTGCTTTTATTGATATACTAGTTTTTTACGCGCATTGCGCGATTGGGATAATGCCCAATGTTTTTCTTAAATAAGTATTTTAAAGTATATCAAGGCAAGATTATATTGGAATTGTTCATGCATAGATAATTGAATGTTGAATTTGCGTATTTAAATTGGTAAGTCTAAGTTTACAAATGCAAGATAATATAGTCAAGATGGATTATAATTGTCAATAAAATAATTGTATGGGTATAGTTGAAACCAAATACGGGACATAAGGGAGAGTAAATAAAAATTAAAGCATAAATATTAAATATATACTAATCTACTATACTAATAAGAGCCCAAGAGAGTTAGGCCTATAATGGGTAGAAAAAATGGCAGTCACAGATTTTAATCAAATGAATGGCTCAGATTAATTAAAAGATTGATCAGATTTAAATTTTACACTAAAATTTCCTAAAATAACCACACACCGTTACTAATTCCGTTAAAATTTTAAGAATTGCCATTAGTTCACCGTTAACTTACTCATTGATTTCAATAAAAAAAGGTCTTAGGTTCGAACCTCATCCCAATTAAAGTTGGCATAATTAGTACTCTATTTTACTCTTATTAAATTATATAAATAATAATTTAGTAGTTACAACAAAAAATAATACATATGCATTTCTTTAATTTAGAATTATGTGTCCACAATTCCTTTATTCAAAAAAAAAAAAAATTATTCATTATCAATCAATTAAATAAGAGAAATAATTTTATTAGTTATATTGTCTTTATTTTTCTTCAATATAAAAATTCTTTATATTCAAATTTATTAATTGATTATATTCGCTACATTATCCTTACAGTGTCTTTATTCAGTGAAAAAAATTTATTAATTATCAATAAATTAATTAAAAGAAATATTTTCATTAGTTATATTGTCTTTATTTTTCTCAAATGTAAAAATTTTTATATTCAAATTCATCAATTGATTATATTCACTACATTATCTATTATCTTTTTTGTGCACTATTTTTCTAATTAAATATCAAAGTTATAATACAAAATAATGCTATATATATTTATTTACCAAGTATTTTATTAATACCATGAAAAAATTAAAAAAATATAATTAATAAAGTCAACCATATTAACTACTTGAGAGATTTTGTGACAACGAGAGTATTCAAATCACACAACAAATTGAAGTGAGAATTACCTCGCAATGTCCTTGTTTGACAATCAGCAGTTAGCGGTTAACGTTAGCGGATTATACTAGCGGATTTGACCAGCGAATTTATTTAATTATTAACATTGGGTAGAAAAAATGACCGCCAAATTATTAAATCAAATGAATGGTTCATATTGTTCAGGTTTTAATTTTTTCTTTTAAGATTTTCTAATTTATCCTTAATTATATGATTATCCATTTAACTTTTCCGTTAATTCACCGTTAGTCTAATTCTAATATTAAAGTCTAATATAGAATTATAACTACACCATTAATCTAATTCTAATATTAAAGTCTTAATAGAACTTAACCACAAATTCTAATGTAGGAATCTCCTCAAACAATATTAGTATATATTTAATATTTTATGTCCTAATTTTTATTTGTTCTCCCTTATGTCCCGTATTTGGTTTCAACGATACCTATACAATTATTTTATTGACAATTATAATCAATCTTGACTATATTATCTTGCATTTGTAAACTTAGAATTACCTAT